ACACACACACACACACACACACACACACACACACACACACACACACAAGGTTAATATGGTTTATTTGACTATGTCAACACTTTGAAACAGCACATCTGATTACATGCAGGTGGTAAACATTAAAAACTCAGAATTTCATTCAATTAAACTGCCTGATCAGCCAAGAAAAGGTTGGTGATAGGAATTTAGTTATTTAAATAGCCTGGAGGTAAATATTGTCTGTTAAACTATTGAAAATAATGTAAAACATGACATAACAGAGTGTGACAAATACATTTCATCAGCTATATTTGCTATGTATCATCTTTGTAGCCTCAATGATGATGTTTGCTGAGAGAGAGAGTTCTTTGTAGCACGACATGCGTCAAAGTAAATGCTGGGAAAAAGTGAGCCGGCAAACAAAGAGTAGCACGTCAGGATACGCATGCCATCATCATCTCGGGTACATCAGAGAACCTACGGGGAGACACACATTCTCATTTACACTGAAGGTGTGAAGTCACTCACACACCTGAATGTACAAGTAACTCACCTGGTTGTCAAATTTTCTAAATAAAATTAAAAAAAAAAGACTTACCTAACGCCCAGAACTTGATGGTGGGCAATTTTCTGTTGGCCAAAAAACATAATAGAAAACTTCAGTGTCATTTAACCCTCCCCATTATCTGTGTATGCACTGCATATGAGCTCCCTTTACTTTACCTGCAGGAGGTGGGGTCAGAATAGAGTCTCTGGGGAAACCTTGGGACAAGGCAAAGGCTTTAAACTTCGTAATTACATCAATTCTGACCTCTTGAGAGCGACCTGCAAACAAGACCAAAGACACATATAGTGAGTGTTGCCTCTTCATGCTAACATGCTTAGATGTGACGTAAAAATGAATCTGCGTCTCACCGTAAAGCGCCACCTGTGTGTATTCTCTGTTAAAAACCTTCTGTTTGAGAACCACGGCGTAATCAGAATAGTTTGTGTCCACCACTGTGATGTCCTTCACCATGTTATGGCCTGACAGAACACACAACACAGAAGTGAAGGACAAAGACTTCCTGTCATTCAATATTAAATACGGACTAAACCAGAGAAATATGAGAATGAATGGAAATCCACGTGAGTGACACTGTCACGCTCTTTGTAGAATATTTAATAAAATCTGTAGTAAAAAGTAAAATAACCTACAATTTGGGTGACTTGACTTGTGATTAGGGATGAAATTGTCCATATGAAATAGATACAACTGGATGTAGTGTACCAAACGCCACCATATTAAAATATTCTGTATATAAATGAAAATATAATATCATTTTTAATACATGTTTATATTATAATTCAGTATATGTCCTGCAGTATTACAACAGTAATGAGCTGTTGAGCATGCAAGATGAGCATGCATTTGAAATATATTACAAATTTACAGCACAAATGCAGGATTTACAATCACGTGAACAGCTGTCTTCAATGTTAGATATAAGACAAATTAAAAAGTCAACAATTGTAAAAATTGTTGTCTGGAAAAAAAAGTACAGATTATTTTTCTTAAAGGTAGACGTTGATTAAAAAAAACCAAACATTAACATGTATACAGAGTGCATAAGTGCATCATATTAAAAAAGTACGGACAAGCCAAAAATATTATATTTCTGCTTTGCTTTTATTTCATTTCTTGCTCTCTACTTTATACATACATTTTTTTGGGGCCTCAGTAATAAAGCCACACAGTAGCTCTGGTCATTTTACAGTCACATATTCCATACATCCTTTAATCATGTATGTCTGCCACCTCTCTCTCTCTGCATACAACCACTCTGAGCTCTGCATCCTCGCTGCTACACTGCTGCCTATACTTCCACACGTGTGTGGTTTATAAGCTCAGGGATCACATTTGTTCCAGAGCGTCACATGACAGAGACACACCACTAAACCTAACATGTGTATTGACTGAAATATTTCTCACATGTCTTGCGTGGACAATGCGGCTTTTTTTTTTTTTTTTAAATCTGTGTGCTTGTTGTAGTTGTTTGCTCAATACTGTTGCAGATCCCAAATTCAATTTTGTCCTACTGCTGCGGGCACTCACTGAGTACCAGGCAAATATTTACATTGTAATTGAGCAAAGTCACAGAGCTTACTAAAAAGCCTTTCTCTTCTCTCTTTCTTGTCAGGTTAGAAGTGAGCAGACTTACGTGTGCTGAAGTAGGTGAACTGTCCAGGTACGCTGGTCTTCTCATAGTTGTACACCTTTCTCAGACAACCTAAAGGTCTGAAGCACACAGGGGGAACACATGTCTTTATCTTTTCTAAACATCCCCCGGATTCCTCTCTTCTTTGACCGTCCATTTACACCAACATGTACTGTACTATATGTCACGCGCGCACAGACTCACGTGGCGTCCCACATGGTGAGGTTAACATTGCCGTTTGGCAGCGCTGTGATGATGCCCATGGATGCCTTCACTTTGTCTCTGAAGGGGGTAAAACTTGAAGAGTCATAGGCCAGGCCCACCCGGTACCATCTCCCTGCAAACTAAACACACACACACACACACACACACACACACACACACACACACACACA